TGAATATGAATTTAGGGACGGATAAATTCGAATTTAAGACAAGTTTCCCGTCTAGATGGGATTCCCGTCTAACTTTCCCGTCTGTTTGGACGTGTAAGTTAGACGGGAAAGTTCGGACGGGAAACTCGTCTGCCCCCGGATTCATATTAGACGAGTTTCCCGTCTAAGTTGAGTTTCCCGTCTCTAATATGAATTCGGCTGTTACTGTAAGCTAATTATAGCAATTTATAGCTATAAATAGCTATAATTAGCTTACAGTAATGTTTATTTCCCAAACCGGTTTGACATATTTTTACTGAATGGCCAATCATATGCGAGATTCAAATTCTGAACCTAATCAAGTGTGTATGGAAGTGGGATTGGCAACCGATGTTACCAAAGGCACTTCCTTAATCTTGCCTCTCGTTTCTTTCGCCTCGCCAAGAGCCTCTGGAACCAGAGTAGGCAGGATTATATGTCTAATTATTCAATAGGATTTTTATCGTATGGACATACCTGAAAAATAGATTTCCATGTCTTTTTTGGAAGGATTTGCATGTATTTGTTGTTGTAAATGGCAATTTATTTCAAAAGAAACGAGAACAAGAACAAAACAAGTTACGATTTGCATATTAAATTAGTAACAACCGTTTACCCTAACGCCATCATTCTTTAATATGATTGGATAAAATATTACAAATAAAAAACCTGTAAATCAAGATTTCAGTTTTCATTCAACGGCTTCAAAAAGACAAAAACAACTGTCCAACAAGAAAGTTTCGCCTTTGTGCAAGTCTAATATGTTACGTCCAAACGGTCCAATCACTTCAAAAATGTTCAAGTAAGTTGTCATGATTTGTTTTCGTTGAGAAACTAGTTTTTGAAATACATTTAGAAGCTCGAGCTTTTGTTTATAGCATTTTTGCGGCAATTTTCCTCAACAAATTTAAAAATAAATACCTCCAACTGCTCGTAAGTTTGCCGTTTTACTCTTACAGTTTTATAGCTTTGTTTTATTCCTGTTTAAGTGTTTGTAACATTATATTAGAGTCGACTTCTACCTAGACAAGTGTTTTTCTGCAGTGTGTTTGTCACAGTGGTTTGACACTAAAAAAAGTCGGATCAGTTTTGCTTCGTCCTACCAGGAAAAACCTGTTTATACGAGGGCAATAAGGCTTTTTATCGTGTAATCCTCTCTCAGATTTTTCGTGTTCTCATGACCTTATATGGTCAAACACGTCATCGTCACACTATAATATCATTTATTATATCATTTGGGATAAGATATGAATGGGATATAAAACCTTTTGTTTTTCTTTGCTTGTAGAATGTAGTTTTCGTCTTCGATAGACTTCTGTGTCTTTATGTTGTTGTTCAAAAAAGTGAGAAATTGTTTGACTATTTAAAACTCTTTTGCTGACTTAATTAAGTAACTGATTTAAAAAGCAAAATGCCTGTTTATGTAACGCATAGATATAATTATTAAATGTTAGTTCTTTTCTGTAACATTTAGATGCAATTATGGCTGAAGTATTTTTAGAAAGATAAAGTACAAACTCCGAAAACCGGAACACAAGTTTTGACTTCAAATCTTGGTCTTGGGAATCTTGATTTTGCTTATGTGATATGGAACAGTAAATATATTTAATTTGATGAAAGTAAGACATAAAAAGATTTGTTGTCGATATTTTACTTGGTTTTACAAAACTATATTTGCATTCTCGCAACTGTTGACATTCACGCAATTTTCACGAGAAGACACCATTAAGGGAATATCACCTTAATGGCGAAGGTTATTTACAAGGGGAAAAAGAAAAGAAAACTGCATGCAACCAGATGCCCACGCATGCGTGTAGCCCAACTCATCCACTCCCACAATGATTGAGTGGGTAATGTTGATATAATAAATTACAAAGTGCTGAATAAAACATTTTTTTGCAAACTTTGGAGAAAAAATCTCAAATTCAATTTTTGATGTTCGTCAAAACGAACTAGCTGATAACGTCACATTTTATTATAAAGGGGAAGTGCTGGCGTATGGCAAAAATTTGTTAGTCCCCCTTATTGGACACCAGTGTCAAACCAGTATCAAGGAAATTCAAGATCATTTTAATTAAAAGTGATTTATTTTAAAATTTGACTTATTTACATTGCTAAAGTCACATGTTTGCATTTTTAGTGTCCAAATATTCAGATTGCAGCATTAATAATAATTATCACTATATGTGTGATGCTTAATTTGTCCCACAATCTAAAATTTATTTCAATAGCAATCATGTTTTACTGCAGAACTGTCAAAAGACGGTCTTCAATGATAAACAAATACGGTGTTTGAAATTCATGACAATTAAGTTGTCAACCATGCACAACTGAGTGGCTGGATCTGTCTTTGCGATGCAATTCGTTTGTTGCCTGTGTTTACAGGTGCCATCCAAATGAACTTTTTGACATCCACTACAACACATCCATATCAAACTTGGGTATATAAACAGACTCTTGTTCAAGATATTAATACATGCTGACAATAATCCACACTGGGTACCTCTAGATTCTAGAATGAACACTGTAAATTCGTCGCCTTCACATGCTACCACACAAACAAATAAAGCTAAAGGTATAAGTACACTTTGACTAATTGTAATAAGATATTGTTAATTAAATGACCTTAAATGTTGTTTTTGACCAATCGATCAGTGGACTGTTAATAAGCTCATGAAATCACATTGTTTACATAATACTCCTATTAAAAACTCACCGCCTTCATGCATGTCAACTGAAATAAATAAACCCATCCTTACCTGAATTATTCTAAATATTATAGATCGCTTGTACCCGTATTAAAAAGCATATAAAATCTTGAGAAGAATTGAAAACACGTGTGCGCAATACAAAATCTTGTTTGACCACCCCCTCAATTAAAAACTGTGCTTGAAGCTTAATTATTCCCCATGGGAAAATGGACAGACAGACAAAAGATCGAGATCTCGACAATACATAGTTCGCGCGAAAGACTGGGTCGAGAGAACTCTGGAGAAACCATAGCACGTCAAGAGTAGTCTGCGCCTCACTGAAGTTCGGCACCAATTATTTAAAGTTCTCTAAAACTGGTAGTCTTTCAGCATAAAACCGGTTTTTCAAAAATTTTCACACTGGCAATCTTTTCACTAATCGAAAATGCTCAATATACGGGGTATCGCCGTTGTTTTTTTCCAGTTAATTAAATTAGTTAATGATCCTTTACTAGGAAAAATTGTGAGGTGGCTGGTCAATATCTAATTTTCATTGGTTTTTCAGAGCACGATATCGAGTTTTAAATAGACCTACTGCGAAATCCGAAAATTCGGGATTTTACCGCACTTTCGGTTCTAAAAAAATGTGAATATTGAAAAAAAATTTATACAGATCAGTAATACTACAAATTTGAAAATAATTTACATTTTTGTAAACTCTACCGTAGAAACTTTGCGAAACAATACATGTTCAAAACTGGAAGTGCGGGGAAACTGCATGGTAGGACTATTAGGGGAATACATCGCATTGGCGGGACCTTTCCGGTAATTACGTCACGACTAACATTGTTTTCAACTTAGGACCACCTTAAATGGAATGGATTTTAAGTTTTTTTCTCACAGACTATGGTCAGAGGAACAAAACATCCTTCTTCAGCAATGCATAAAAAGAATTTTGGATTTTGACCAATAAATATGGAAATAAGCTAAAACACGAAAACGAGGCTGAGGGACCAAGAGGGGCCATGGATCTTCAGCCTCGTTTTCGTGTTTAAGATTATTTCCACATTTAATAGTCAAAATCCAAAATTATTCTTTATGCATGTGTTGACGAAGGATGTTTTGCTTCTACGACCATAACTCATGAGAAACAAACTTAAAATCTATTCCATTTAAGGTGGTCCTAAGTTGAAAACAGTGTAGTTGTGACGTAATTACCGGAAAGGTCTATCCTGTTCCTGTTTTTTCTTGAAAATTTTTAAAATGCAACTAGTCGTCCCCGGCTTGATGATTACAAGCCCATTCACACGATGGGATTGATCTCAAGGATCTGTTGTTGAGAAAAAATCCTTCCCCATTACAGCTTACACAAAATCGTTTAAATAAAATGCATTCGACTACAGAGGAGACTTGGCGCTTGAGCGACCACGTCGCTGGTACAAAAGTAAAATTGACCAATAATATTAGTGGAATTCAATATTCGTGTAGATGGATAATTCCTGTACAGATATATACACCTTTTATACCTAACCAGAAGCGGTTAGAAAAATGAAAAACTTAGCTAGGTTCTCTGGTAGGAATCGAACCTGCGGCTCTGTGATTCGGATGCAGCGTTCTAACCAACTGAGATACAGAGGTCAACTTGAAAGATTTTTTCCCTTGGTTGAAACTGAATATTGGAATAGATGAATGATTCAAGTGGTGACATATACAATTATTATAACTGGTGATATAAATCATGTTTCGCTCGCTACGCTGGTTTAAAATTAAATAAATGATTACAAAGCCCAGTCGAATTGTAATCAAGACCCAACGTTTCGACACTCCAGCCTAATGTTTTCATCAGGGGTGATCTAAAATTGCAATCGTGGCTTCTTAAATACCCAAGGGATGACGTCACTTGCCAATGAGATGCATATATTCCTCTGGCAAATAGGCACCGTCATCCCTATTCAAAGCATGATTACTCATATTTATATGCCACGCTTCTAGGCAAAGTCTTTGACCATAGCGTTTGTTTGTGGTAATTACTATACTTTAGAGTTTTTCCACGCAATCTCGTGTTTGGTGTAACATACATGTTCGGCTAAAGCTGATTTTCCCTTGTCTAAAGCTGAAACAGCCTTTTGATGTTCTTTTAGCCGTGTACCAAACTGACGTTTAGACTGACCCATGATATAAAGTGTTAATATCATTACTTGGATTATCTATCTACCTAACTAACCAATCAAAATTCTTGTTCCAGTGACTTGCGCCTAGATATCACCCGCACGTGTCGTTCAGTTTAATCTCTGGACAATATACGTGTATTTCCCAACAATAATGAGAGACTCTTAGAACCTCTTCTAACATGTCAGCAACACCACAGTAGGTCTATTTTACAACACCAAATCTATTTTAATAAGTCATGAACAGTAAACATCAGCAATATATTTTATTAGCAATCATTTTTTCTTCCCCAACATTACTAATATTTGTCATCTATTTATTTTTAACCCACAGGTGAGCATTTACAGAGATTAGGCGCCAGATGTCAGGCAGGATTCTTCAAATCTTCTGCATTCTGAGTCAACAACGTCTCTAAATTTTACAACTACAACTCTACATATCTACAACTTACACTTAGTATATTTTACATAAAAAATTTGTTCAGAACGGTTTTTTAGTTGTCCTTGAGCAACAGTCATATAGGCTGTTCAGCCGCACTAAATACGTCTACAGTCAGAACTCTGCTACCTCCTGCATCTGTAGTTTATCTATGTGGGATTGAAGAAATACTTTGATACTTTGCTACTGATGAATTTGATAAAAGATGGTGGTAGTTTCGATAGATACTCCTCAGTATAGTAAGAAGGAAAGGTTAATGGATCTCCTAACACTGCGAACAGATCTGCAGTTGTGTCTTCATTCTGGAAGGAAAAGAGGAAATATTGTCTATTAAGGAGCACTTTTACACCACATGAGCATTGTTATATTTAAGTTAAGAAATAGAAAACATTTTTCGTGTTTCTATAGAGTTATAGAAACACGCGTGCTAGTTTGGGAGAACGAGAAATAATCAGTGGGAACACGAGCACGTAGTGCGAGTGTTTCCACGTTATTTCGAGTTCTCCCAAACTAGCACAAGTTTTTCTATAACTCTATAGAAACACAGGAAAAAATGTTTTCTATTTCCTTTATTAAATAACCTTGTGATAATAACACAAAAACAATATTTTTAACGCGATTAAAAAGTATATTCTCATTACACAATAACAAGAAAATGTTGCCTAGCAACAATACCGGCATCATCATTATGGAAATAAACACACTGAAAAAGTTGATTTAAAGAAAATTTAAAGCGAAAAAAACGTTTGGTAAGTGTTTTCCATTGCTTGTTTAACAAAATTTAAGGTTGACGAAGATTTTTAATCGATATTTCAGGCGAAAACGTTTGTTTTTAGCGTGTTGTTTTGAGGTTCGTGGAAAATTTCCGTGTTCTATAGCGTTATAGAAACACGGGATTTTTCGCTTTTCAACCAATCAGCGCAGGCGTTATTAAAAGGTTATTTTATAAAAAGGGATAACATAACATAACAACATACATAAATTTATTCAAAGAACCTAGTATTACAAAAGTATCAAGGCCTTTGCACGAGAAACCGGAGGTTAACCCTATATTTGGATTACGCTTTCCTGGACTGAAAGTCAGACATATTTGGATATGTTAAAATAATAATTAAAGAACTCCAAAAAACGACTTGTGCCAGCGTAGGCAGTAACTGTAATACCAAAAAGCTTTGGATTGACAGAGATTCAACAGATTGACAGATCGACAGAGATTGACAGAGATTAAGTCAGGAAGTTAGTAGCATGGATATAGAAAATGCACTTTATTTTGATCAAATCCATCCGATTCTTTCTTACGTAATCGCTTTTATGTTCACTAGTACAAAAGCTCAAGTTATTTCCCAGATTCATGTTACTAACTTCACCGACGACAGGCCGCTCGAAACGTCGAAATTTTATTTGTATTTTTGAGGTCGCTGAAACCCTCCCAATCGCAAGTATAGTGCGAAATTTCAGAACCTCCCAGATAATTTGGGTGATCTGGGGGGAATACAAATTGGCTAATTTCTGAGAGACGATTTGACATTATTGTTTATTAACATGATTTTTAGTTAGGGTCCACTTTAGCCAGCTTTGTCTCCCCCCCCCCTCTCTCTCACTCTGGGTGGCCTATGTGCACATTACATACATACGTCACGTAACTTCAGAGGAAAGGAGGGGAAGCGGTTAACTCTATAAATACTGGAACGATAACTCAAGGTAAATTGTTGTATGATTGGGTGAAGCCAAGATGGCTGCCTGTAGAGTGATCTCTTGTAGATATAAAACATGCGTGTTTTTTGCGTGGGCTTCGTGGGAGCTAAAGTTTTCCGATATCGATGTTTTTCCATTCTCGCACATAAATGCTCATTCTAATGCTAGATAACATTATAATGCTAAATACCTAAAAGCTAAGAACTAAATGAAAAGGTAAGATTAATGCAACTGCAGTCCATATTATTCTGTGTTCAGTTCAAATCTCGTACAGTCCTAGTAAAAACAGAATTTTGCTGGTGTCTCTCCGCAGGGTTTTTTCTGAACTTGTTTTTCAGTCTTCAAATAATTTGCTTTTTATGATGAAGTGTTTCTAAAATTTGGTTATTCTGAGAAACCAGTGGCTCCAGCTTTCTTTGGCCATGGTAAAGTTATTGGAAAATTACATGGAATGGAATGTTCGTACTGAATTCGGCGAGTTTCGGCGTGGGGATCTGGATCATACCAACAGGACCGTCTTCAATTCCCGCCATCTTGGCTTCAAAAATACAGCCCGAGTTATCGTTCCAGTTCCACTAAGGGGCGCAGGGCCACCGTGGGTGTTATGGTTTAAAGCCTAAAAACCCAGGAAGGCTGGAGTCCATGCCGCCTCATCTCCCCTAAATATCTTTCCACTTTCCCTCAACCTCATTCCCTGCGCTGTGAGTTAACCTCATGCAACATACAGCTAATTCAATTGAGATTATATATTAATCTTTTCAAAGTCAAAAATCAAAACTGCAAACTCTCAACCTCTATGCGATTAAATAACGATGGGCATGTACACAATATATGTAATTATAATTGATAGTCGGAACACTCCGTTGTCATGCGGTTGCTACGTTCCACACAAGCCGTTTTGGTATCGGCATTCCCGTTTATTATCACCTTTCTCAGATTTCATTTGCTCATCTAACCCAATTCAATAACTGACAAACTTGGCAGAATTCATTGGAATTTTAAAGATTTTTAATGTTGAAGAAAGTTGTTTTTGTGATATGCTTGATTCCTTTGGGAATTAAATTCACTTGATTTAGTTGATTAGCATAAATGTGCTAATATGTTTGCCTAAACGATCTTATAATAATAATGCTTTTCGCGCTTGGAGGTTGTGCGGTTTTCTCTGGACATCCTTAATTGAAATAGCTGTATACCTACACCAATACCCAACTCTTGCCTTTTTTTAACATTTTTATTCTTCAAAATAAATACTACATGAAAATTCTCTTAAAAGAAGATCCTTTACCTGTAACAGTTGCCTGTGACTCTTCTTATTATACATGTTGCCATCTTGGATAATGTCTTCAACCAAGTCACTCACTAAATCTAAAACAGAAAATGTTTCATTGTATGGAAAAACACGAGATTACGCTTTTGTCGAGTAATTCTGCAAGTTTCTTTTAAAAGTCAAAACTAGAATTGAAAAAAAACTTTTGTACGTACAAATGTGCAAAAAACAAAAAAAATCACTTGTGAACTAATATTAACCAATGTATATCTGGAACGAAATCTCGAGTGTAAGAAGTGAAGCTATAAGATGGCGGAACTTGGACGTTAGTTTCAGTCCCTTTCTTTTGTTTTTGTCTGCGCGGTTAACAAGAAGCTGGATTTGACTTGTCTATAGCGATACGGCCCTTAGAAAACAACTGGGATTAGCTGGAACTCATGATGTTAATACCATTTACGACTTTTATAATTTATTGGGCAACAATCTTGCTCCAGATATGTATGGGTCACTGTCATTAATGGCAGAGACAGGGAAGCTGGTTCGTGGAGGGAGAGAGAGTCGGAGGGTCTGCAGCTCTGCCAGTCAATGTTTAGTAAGGCTAATTCTACTTAAAAAAACGTACAACTCTGAGTTCTGTGGCTCGTTTTCCTGTATATGCTTTATCCATGTGTAAACGAATTTCGAGTGATGTCAAAGATATTTTAGTGATAACTGTTGCAAAATTTAAGCACAACAAAATCATAATATAACCACTATATAGTTTGAAAACGAGTGTAGTGGAAAGCGGGGAATAAAGTCAGCTTAATTTTGTCATATTTAGTTTTACCTTTATATGTAGCAAAGCGCATCTTAAATCCCCCAGCACTCAGTAAACTACTGGAATGAAACTTGACATAAAGTTTCTTGCTTCTCGCCACAATGACTACAGGATCAGGGTTGCTTTCACATGTTTGATATGTATGCACAGAATAAGGGCTCGAGCTCTCTCGTATGACCAGGTAATCCGAGCATGGCGCGGTCAGGGGTAGCGAGAGCCTGGGTATGAGGAAGAACATGGTATGATTTTCAACAGTATCGATGTTCCATTCGCAAGTGATACCGGGAGGATAGGGATCAGGAAAGTTGGGGCTGTGAATGAAACCTGACTTGGCATTCTTCAAGGACCATCCACAGTTCGTTTCTATACAGAAGAAAAAAAACCACTTTAGCAATATGAAATAGTAGAAGGGTATTCTAGATGGAAATTATCCAGAGGAAATTTATATACAATTATTGGATCTAACCAGGAACAGCTGCGAAAAATGCAAGCTTTGCCACTTTAAGTTCCTGGCAGGAATCGAACCTGTGGTCCTGCGAATTCCTGGGGCCTCGGTGGTGAAGTTGTTAGCGCACTTGCCTTTCACCTCTAAGGCTGCAGGTTCAAATCTCAGTGAGAACTTTCTCAATGCGACTCAAACCCAGTCCTCATGTGAAAAGAGTAAAAGTTAACGCTCTGCCGAAAGTCGTGGGTTTTCTCCAGGTACTCTAGTTTCCTCCCTCAGGAAAGTTGACAGGGTGGGTTAGGTAAAAAGGGCCCACAGTAATTGACATATGCTGTTGTGGTGACCCTACACTAGTTGGCAAAGCTAAGTAAATAAATAAATAAATAAGGTGCAGCGCTCTAACTAACTGAGCTACAGAGACCAGTTGTCGACCTCCAACCACAAGATCATGTAAATATACTAGGGTATACGATGACCTACACATGGCAGTACCCTAGCCTACATACATGAACTTGTGGATAGAGCTTTGAAACCCAAGCAGGCATCGTGCGTTGGAGGATTACTTGTACAAAAACACGTTTTTAATTGTTTTGCCCAGGATAAAGTCGAAAAAATATACAGAATATTAATTTATTAATGGTATTCGTATTATTTATTTACGAGATGTGTATTGTTAATTAAAAATTTCAATGGATGCATTGATGGGAAAACTTCCTGGCTCCTGTAGTCTGCTCTCCCTCGCACTACTTGAAAATCAGGGCCGTCAGAACTTTTCAGAACAATCATGTGCATGACCGTGCTCCGTCCCATTCCATTTAATGGTTTGGGAAAATCTGGAGATTTGAGATAGACGGGCAAATCACTTTTGAAAAATATCCGAGACTTCTGGACTTTCGAAAGTTTGGATATTTTATGGTAGAACGATTTGGGAGTTTCATCGGACTTTTTGTAGCAATTAAAATAGTATTATTTATTTTCAATATTCTAATGAAGCTATATGCGTTAAAAAGTAACTATATCCGATTTTGCTGAATGAATATAAGTATAATATACTGTTAGAAATATCAGTACCTGGACAGTCGTAAGAATCCGTATTTACTCAGGATAATATTGAACCACATGCATAAGTGTTTAAACACATGCATTAAGATTTAATTAAATCAAGAGGTAAATTTTTAAATTAGATCTCAAGCGAATATTTTATGAATTTTTAGAAATTTTACTTGTGAAGCATATATCGGTAAACTTTTACAGAGTTCCCAACTTTCGCCGGACTTATACGGATTTTAAATGAGTGGTTTGCCCTTGTTTCGAACAGTAAAATTAAATTCCATGTGTGGTATATAAACAAGAACTTGCGTCGAGAGCTTGACAACTGCCCTTGACAGCTTGACAACTGCCCTTGCGTCGAGAGCTTGACAACGCGGCTTAGTTTGAGCGCTGTGCCAGAATCACAAGGCCGCGGCTTTTATTCCTACCAGAGGGTCATGCTCAATAGTTGCATTTTTCGCAGCTGCTCCTGGTTATAGGTCTAATGATTGGTCTCGCAATTTCCACCTACAAAACCATCTACAATGCTGGCTAGTGATGCTGGCTAGCCCTATATTATGCATGCAGTGGTCATTTACAGAGTACTTGCGTCTTCACCACGGAGTTGTAAAAGAAGTGTAGCATGCAGCTCAAGTGAGAAATTGGCCATCCATAGACCTTATTCATAAATCGTGATGAGGCCTCCTATCCTAGGAAACGGGGAAAAACGCGGGAAAATTGACAAAATGTTTTTTTTGCTGTCGGCTATGGCAGCCTTTTTTCGTGAATATTTACGGCTTTTTTCGAAAATAATATCTATAAAACTGAGCTTGAAAGTTGAAAAAATACTTCTGAGAAAATATTACATGATATTTGAAGCAAAAGATGCTGGAGTCAATCGAAAAAGGAAACCTTTGACTTTGTATTATTGTCGTAGTTTGTATGGCCGAAACAAACAACCAACAAGGCTACAAAACGTCTATACAACACCAAAATCGTAAGAAATATGAAACTATTGTTGAAGAAATGGGATTACAACTCACTCAGGTAATGTAGCCTTCATTTTTTAAACTTGTAAGCTGCTTGCAGAATGTTATCGAGCCACAGCCATAGTTCATATTTTCCCGTACGAATCAATAACATTTGACGTTCTCTTGTGATTTTTTACTGTTATTTTCTTTCATATTTATGTCAAATTCGAAAAATTATACTTCCATTCCATAGTTGTCTTGATTCTTCACGGAATAAACCTTTATGTTGACGTTAAAATCTCAGTAAAATACTGTTTTTCGCTTCTGGATAAACACCACCGCTACGTTGTCATTTTTTCCACACAAAAACGGGAGAAAAACCGGTCGCTTTTATAATATACTCGTTCACGCTTTCGTTGTGGGCACAAAGTCTTAAAATACACACAAAAATCGTTATGAATCGCAAAAAGCAGCAAGAAACAAGCCGTTAAGGTCGACACAATAGCATCTGAATTTGGCTTGTCAAGCAGTTTTCGCTTGTTTTCCCGCGTTTTGTTCCCGTATCCTAGGATACGAGGCCTCGTCACGATTTATGAATAAGGTCTATAACTCACACGATTTCTTTTAGCCCAACGGGGCTTTCCAGTGACCGATTACATCAAGTACTACGCTTACTTGTATTACCTATATACTTAGTAATTATCTTTACAACAATTGTGACATTACTTTTCTAAATGTGTTTATCCTAATCCACACGGTCAACTATTTCTATGGAAGGAAACTGGATCGGAGCGACGGCAGAGACTTTCGGCAGAGCGCATGGCTGTAGCGAGAATCGGCAGAGCGCAGAGCGCAGATCGGCAGAGCGCATGGCTGTAGCGCATAGGCTGTAGCGAGAATCGAATCACGTTCTCAGAGGTGAACGGCGCTCGCTCTGACGAATAATTGGATATTTGATTTCCTGCAACGCATTTTTTAATCAGATGTCAGCAGCGGCGTAGCCAGCCCCATACGAATAGGGGGTCTAAAGTGCCAAATACATAAAAGTACTGTTCTAAAAGCCGGAGCATAGTCCCCGGAAATTTTTTAATTTTAAGGTTAGCGAAACGCCCCCACGCGCATATTTGGCATGGCCTTTTGGTGACCTATATGCCATAAATTTGGTTTATTTTATGCCATAGATGAAATATTTACAAGATTAACAAAGCATGTACGTAATAAACTAATAATATAACACGTCAAATTAATGTATAAAGAAAGTTTAACCCCCCCTAGTTTCTTCTCACTTTTGGAAGAATTACAATATTGATCATTACAAAAAGTGTGTGTGTGTGTGTGTGTGTGTGTGTGTGTGTGGGGGGGGGGGGTTACGACCACCAATTACCCCCCCCCCCCTTGCTACGGGCCTGGATGTCAGGGATTTAACTTGTTTTGACATCTATGTAATTCTAATGCGATTGTAATGCCAAAAAATGTTTAGGCATTGTTTTATCTCAGTGAGTTTCTTAGACTTAATCTAGTTATATTGTTAGTTTGTCCGAAATATTAGGCCTTAATAGTTACTGAATTTGAATTTTATTTTTTTGAATTTTGAATTTATTAGATTTGTCACACAAATCACACAATCACAGATAATTATTTACAAAGGTTAAAAAAGTATTAATTTACAAAAGGGTAATAATAACAGTTTACAAGAGTAGGTATTTATGTGACGAGGAGGTTTGATGAAAAACCACTTGGCTTATTATGTGTAACAAACCTCCTCTTATGTTAAATTTATCTCAATGATAATTATATATATGAACATAATTGGTTCTATAATATAAGAGAAGCCTCACATATCGATTTCGTCCATGAGAAACGTCATATGTTCGTTTCCCCCCCCCACCCCCCCTTAGAAACGTCACACATAGTTAGGCCAAATAAAAAAAAAAATACTTGGTTAGCGTCACCGCCCGCCTCTCGATTTTCTGCCGCCTCTGAATTTATTTTTTTTATGTAAATCTCTTCGTTTTACAGCTTAAAACAGTTTAATGACGAGCAGAGATGCTTTTTCATTTTTTTGGTAAATGACGAATATGATACACTATTTATTATATTATTATTTAGATTGTTATAAAGAAGTGGACCTTGATATTTAATTGAAAATTGCCGTAGATTTGTTCTTGGAATTGCAATGTAAAATTCATTAGCTCTCCTAGTATTATAATTATGTACTTGCCGTTTAAAAGAAATAGGTTTTCAAAATGGTCTGGTAATCAGTACAATACAGTATAATCTGGAATTACCATTACAATTATTCCCTTTTTATGCATTTTGACAACTTTATTGAAAGAGTGTATTTGTAGCAGACAACTATGTCTCGAAACTGTGTTTACCAGTTTAAACTACGGATTTCCCTGTTGGTGAATCAAATCTAACTTATCTACCTTCAGATTTAACTATTTAACTGAGGGTTTTACTTTTGACTAGTTAAAGCAAAAAAAGTTAAAGTTAAAAAAAGTTAATATAAAGTTAAGTTAAGTTCTAGTTAGCATAAAGTTTAAAAAAGTTAATATAATTTACCTACCTATGCATTTTGATTTACTCTTCGCTCCAGATTCAAGTGTCGTTGTGTTGCCGGGGCAACGGTAGCAGAATTTTTCAGAATCTTGGTTTTGATATGTGCCACGTGGACATTTTAAACATTGATGAGATATGACGTCAAAGTAACTACCACGTCGGCATGAGCCTGCAAAATGTCGATAAATCAAAATCGAAATTCCTGCTAGGCTACAACACGGTGATTTTCGCTAAGTTGCTTGCCTTGAGTAGGGGCTTTTGTATGGAAGAAAGTCAAAGGCATTACTAGATGTGCAATCGAGCCTCCCAAATTAAAAAAGTTTTTAGCTATATGTTTTTTCTTCGCGAACTCCTGTAGGTAGAGTAGGTTGAAAATTGAAATTTACCTGAACATAATTAGCGAACCAATCCATGCAATATCTGCATGGCCTCACTGCATTCTTTGTTGCTTTGAAAATAAAAATTTATAACCACGGACATTTTTTAACTCAATAAAATGGCAGCAAGTCCAGCTTGCATTTCTTTCCAAACAAAAACTCTTACCGTTTCTCTTGGAAGTCCTTTCACAGCGACTTCTTGGCTTCATTCCCTTAACATCCTTCCGGTCCAACAGATATTTGTGTCCATCAAAAGCAAGAACAAACTTATCTGAATTGACTAGGCGTTTTAAATTTGAAATAATCTTTTGTAGTTTGCTCTCTGCTTTACATTTCAGACAGGATGAGTTACACCTTGCACGGGAGAAGATCACATTGGGATCCATTTTGATCTCAAAATTTGTTAGAAGTATGTTCGTCTTCTTCCGTATTCGGCATTTCAGTGTGACAGCATGGATTTCACATGGAGCGCTACAGACGTCTTTAGATATCAGTAGACGAAGATCTCGCTTGATGTTTGATGCGATTTTTGCGTTTGTCTTGCATTGTTTAACTTGGATCCTCAGTCTGATTTTTCTTGTGATTGAATCAACGTTGGTTAGATCTACACAAAATTACAAATAATACTAATTAAACTGAGTGGAGTGCAATTTGGATGTGGTTACAAGATCGCACAAATCACAAGTTTGATTTCTATCGGCGATGGTGATGGTGATGGTCACGGGAGTAAGATAATTATGGCAAGGAATTTAAAAGAAGAAGAGATGAAGTAGAACAAGTTAGAGTTTGATGGAATGAAGAGAGCATAAGATGTGGTGGACATGATGTGATTTTGCAGATATGCTGATTGGAGTAAGATAATTATGGCAAGGAATTTAAAAGAAGAAGAGATGAAGTAGAACAAGTCAGAGTTTGATGGAATGAAGAGAGCATAAGATGTGATAGACATGATGTGATTTTGCATATGCTGATTGGAGTAAGATAATTATGAAGAAGAAGAGATGAAGTAGAACAAGTCAGAGTTTGATGGAATGAAGAGAGCATAAGATGTGGTGGACATGATGTGATTTTGCAGATATGCTGATTGGAGTAAGATAATTATGGCAAGGAATTTAAAAGAAGAAGAGATGAGGTAGAACAAGTCAGAGTTTTGATGGGATGAAGAGATCGTAAGATGTGGTGGACATGATGTGATTTTGTAGAGATGGTGACGGGAGTAAGATAGTTATGGCAAGGAACAGGAAAGAAGAAGAGATGAAGTAGAACAAGTCACAGTTTTGATGGAATGAAGAGATCGTTAGATGTGGTATGTGATTTTGCAGAGATGGTGACGGGAGTAAGGTTGCATCTTATGAAAAACAATGCATCTTTTTCATAACAAAATATCTCTTTCAATAGATCTTTTTCTTCAAACACGGAAAAACGATTTATGCAATGTGCTATAGTCGCAGACTATGCATGCGAGTTATCCAATGTTCTGAATTGCGAAGCAACGATATAAACCACGTTAGCTCTGTATATGCTTATATAACATCTTCATAACAAGTGTTTGTGAACTATAGGTGACTACTTGTGTAAATGGTCGTAATGTGAAATAGAGTGCAGTGCAGTGCAGTGCAAAATTAAAGAGACAGGCTAAATCTTATTCATGCTAGTATTTCCTAAAATCTTCAATCACGTCTCAGGCGTCTCTGTGTTGCCAACGCAATGGCAATGAATGTTTGGTTTGACATGCAGTTGAGGACAAATTAATTACTGCTGTGATAAGACGTTAAGAGTAATACTTTCCAGTGGGTTCTTTGCTAAATCAGCCCACCTTAAAAAATGGCGTCTTACCAACACATTCATGTTTATCCGCATGAAGTCTGTAATCAAGACCTTTACAACTGCATTCATAACTTCCTCGCAAGTTCGTACAGATATGCGCACAGCCACCATTATCTTGCAAACATTCGTCAATATCTAGAGGAATAAAAATCAACTCGAATAAGTAAGATTTCTATACGCCCAAAAATGTGGCGAATATCAGGAGTAGGATTCGTGGAATTTGAAATACATCAAAGCGAAGGCGGAAAAGCCATTTAGCGAGAGGCGCAGGTAAACATTTGATTCGCTTTTTCTTAATAACAAAAAATTAGGAGCTATATATTGCAGAATAACGTAAAACAAGGCAAGGGTGCTTTAAATGTTGATGTATTGAATTAATGCTATGCGTATAAAAACCCATCGTATGCAGTGTATAGTTTCATTAATTATTATTACTGATATAATATAAAACTTTAAATAAAAGGAAATATATATTACATAAATGAGACTGAAAGAATCGCATAATTACAAATGATTTTAGCTTAAACTTGAGGTTTTTCGATAAAAAGCAGTTTAGTTAAGCTTTATAAACTTTTCAAAATGTTTTTATCTCGTATAAAACTGATTTACATTGTTAAACTCCCAACCTCGTAACCAGGGTCTTTCCTCTTGACGGGGGGAGAACAGACCCTGGTAGACGCTGGTCACGTGATCTGCTAAAATCTAGCAGCCATTTTAATTAGCAATCCAAGATGAGGTCAATATATATTTGATATTTGGATGATTTTTATAGTTTAATTATAATTTGCATTTTCTATGATTGTCTTAAAGGAATCCAAGATAGTTAATAGATCACGTGACCAGCGTCTACCAGAGTCTTTTCTCTCCAAGAAGAAAGATCCTGGGTACGACGTTACCAAACTCCATGCAACTTATATTTCGTATAATAACAAACCTAACATATCTATTTTGGAAATTGATGATTTTTCCATTAAAAATAATACTGTACGTACTCCATTAATTATTTTTTTACAATTTTGTACAAAAATATAAATAATTGTGTTACCATAGCAACTAATACTACTGCTAATACTTCATGTTTGACTGAAAATATTGTGGTTTTGTAATCGTGGCGAGAGATTATGTATATGCATATACTTCTAGTCACTTGATGACCACGTTATACATGATATTCTGACGTTTATAAACAATTAATCAACCTCGTTCCCAGGGCTTCAGTGTGAGGACGAGGCGAGACACGAGGAAGCCCTGGTCCGGGCCGGTCAATTTTGCATTCTGATTGGCTAACACCATATTGTCTAAAAATAACTGAACTTAACAGTTGACAATAACAATTCAACATTTGTATTTTTATGATTCTTATGTGTACGAGTATGTTTTGCAAAATAATCTTTCAAAATGAGACGTTTTCCCGACTGCATGATTTCGCCTCGGCCGGTTACAAAACGCAAAAGCCGTGTCGACGTGAGCTGAGACGCGAGCCTGACAAAACAAGAAACGTCTACTATTATTTGAGCCGTAGTTTTCCCTGTACAGTATTTATAATGTAGTGCAGATGTCTGATGAAATACTACGCGTATTGCATTGTAGTAATATTTTAATTTACAATATTCTGTACTGACAAATAAAAGCAAGACAAACAATTAAATGAAACTACTAAAGTAATTTAGGCCCTGTTTACTTAATAGCTCTACGCCTTGGCCGATGTAGTCCCTACAAGATTCGTCACGCCACCGATTTTCACAGTTCCAGAATACCCCGAATACTTGAAAATTGCGACTATACGATAAAATAAAACAAAGATTGTGAAGGGGATAAAATTTGTAGGCAAGCATTGCTCCTGAACGGCAAGTGTTGGTGTCCAGCGAAACAAGCGAATCCGTATACAATATTCTGTACTTGGATGCAGTTTGCCTGTAGTTGAAAATCTCCAGAAATATTGGTATATCTTCGAAAACATAGACGGGATCTTCATAGATTTTAGCTGATTCGTCCCAAACTTCGCTCTACACATAAATAATATCGATTGAGAAGTCTTTTGGCTATTTATTTGTTTCGAAGACTTGAATATTTCATTAAAGAATATCTCGCCACTCCTTGACGAGTAGCTGTCAAATACTGCCATTTTTTGACGTCACGTGACCGGCCGGGACCAGGGCTTCCTCATGTATCGCCTCGTCCTCACACTGAAGCCCTGGGAACGAGGTTGACAATTAATATTACTGACAGTGACCGAAATAGTACATCTTTGAACGACTACATTATCGTCAATGGCCATCTAAAAGGGAGGGACTATTTTAAAGCTGTTAACTATCCAGAAATGTAGTAATTAACTTTCTCAAATTCATTAATAATTCATGAGCAATTCATCCAATGATAATCACTTATTTGATCACAAGATGCCATTTGAATACTTGATGAAAGTCACTAGTGTTTTCATCAAATATCTTAATTACGCATGCAAAATTACTTGAATAGAATTCCTAATTACGTTATGCTTGGTTAAGAATTCCATTCAAATCAGCAAACGAAAACATTCTGTTACGTCTCGATTCATTTGAGAAGCCATATAAACAACTCGAGCTCGTGTCTCAACGGGATATCCAAACACTCGAAAACAATGTATGAAAACACTCGCGCTTCGCGCTCGTGTTTTCATACATTGTTTTCTCGTGTTTGGATATCCCGGTGAAACACTCGCTCTAGTTGTTCATATATTACTTCTAATTGAAAATTCCATAGTTGTACAAATTACATTGTTCCAGCTATGTTTTAGTTACTGTATGAACTATATCTAGATGTGCTACCGAAATTTACTTGAAAATAGAATTAACATTACAACAAACATGATAATGTGATGCTAGGCTGTGTTGCTTGTATTCTATGAGTTAAAAATGATTCGTTGCGCTTGTATATAGTGAATTTTAGGAATTAATTAACAGATTTTACCCAAAGGCGGAAAGCAACTATTTAATGAAAAGAAAAGGCAATACCTATCCCTTGAAGCGTGCACGACTCCCTGCATAATTTATAAGATTTATTCTTGAATTTTACCTTCGCATCTTTTCCCATTCTTCCTGTATCCATCTTCACAGACACATTCGTAAGAACCTCTCTTTCCTTTCACACATACGGCATTTCTGCTGCATGGATTATTTCTTTTCGTACAAACGTCAACTAGGAAAAATAATTATAAAACGGAGGTGAGTCTTCCGTTCTCTCTCCCCCCCCCCTCTACCAGGAAGGTGGGCGAATTTTGGCAGGGTGTGTTGGGAACTATAAAGCCCCTAAGTGACCCTTCCACCGTAGCGCTGTTCTGTGATCATGTACGTATAATTCTGTCATAATGCGGTTTCCAGGGACGATCCAAGAAAGTCTTGGATCAGACTGAGCTGTCTTTTGCAATAATTGCAAGTAACGCCGAGAAGAGTCACGACGTTCTTAGTGTAGCATGTTAACTGACTCTTTTCCAGGGCCGCCAAGAGAATTCGCGGGACCCGGAACAATTCTTCCCATTAGGTCTATGCTTATGCTTATATAACATCTTCATAACAAGTGTTGCGAACAAAAGGTATATAATATAAAACATATAAATCTTGAAATAAAAAGGAAAATATATATTACATAAAAGAGATTGAGAAAAGAACTTAGCTAAACTGAATGTAGAGGTATTGTAAAGAGCCCTCAATTTCAAAAATGCCGTGACCAATTTAAAGAACCTACTCAATTTTAGGCTCTCGCTCTGAAGTTGGGGCCATATTAAGGTGGTTGCTCGGGGCAATTTGCCCCTCCCCCCCCCCTCACAGAGGCCCTGCTCTTTTCTCATGAATTACCTGAGTCTCGAACGCGAATCAAACCCACAATCTCAGAGGTCGCAAAGACACAGTTGTAAACTTATGTGCTTTAGGCCTATAGCGTAATTACACAGCTCCTTTTAAATATTGCATGGCCGTACACTCTCATACGGAACTAACGTGATGTGCAATGACAATTTATTCGTCGGGTTGCAACCACAATCTCCTTGATACAATTCTGGAATCAATATCTCCCTTCGTTCTTTTTAATCAAGGAGAAAATGAAATACGCCAATTCATGCACATGGAATTTTGAATGTTCTATATAAAATGTGCAAGAAATGTTATTGACGATCTGGTTTTAAATAGGTTCCTGTAAAAGAGGACTTTGAGTGACTGCACTTACAATTCATAAGCTTATTGGCAAATCATGTCAACCATAATATGTCACGTGCAGTGGCTTTAAACCTAATAAAACACTCCTGCTCGTTTATTAAACAATACTTCACAGTCACCCACTCATATTTAATATATATCTATTACATAATTTTTCCTGTTGTGCAAAAACAAAGATACATGCCAATTTGCTACGTGGATATCCTTGTAATTCCGTCTATATGCCAAAAATAGACGTCTGGAAAGAAACGTCTAAAGACCATTCATCGCTAATATTTTGTTTTCGCTTTTGCTATTGATCGAATTTAGTTAAAAAACAAATTAAATCACATTGCTATTACTTTTGCTTAAATTAAATGTAATTAGGCGCAATTCGATATAGATTTAAATAGGCGTTATACATACAGTACATCGACAGATGCAATATATATTAAGTGTACACATCTTATGTTGCGTGTTCTTTAGGGTCAAAGATTGCAAATGCTTTGACCTTTCGCCAGTGGGCATATTGAGACAAAAGTATATCAGATTAATGTCGCGACATGCAAATAGTACCATATATGGCAAAACGGTAGAAGACCTAATGTTTATAATTTTCAAGGATACGGAAAGATACCACAAACTTGTTCACAGCTGGTGTTTACAAAAAATGCAATAATTGCGCACACTTGTTTGAAAATACTCAACATGCAAACAGCGTGCACAGTAGCAAAATTGCGCTGGCGCGTGCTACTTAATGAAGCTCTGAGTAGATGTCAGCTTGGTCTCTATTGTTCTCTGAAAGAAATTTAAACTAATTGCGTTCATTTGCGCAGCCTACAGCGAATGTCCAACCTGCAAATAGGATGCATAGTAGCAAAATTACGCTAGCGCGTGCTACCTAATGAAGCTCTGAGTAGATGTCAGCTTGGTCTCTATTGTTCTCTGAAAGAAATTTAAACTAATTGCGTACATTTGCGCAAGCCTACAGCGAATGTCCAACCTGCAAACAGAATGCATAGTAGCAAAATTACGCTAGCGCGTGCTACCTAATGAAGCTCTGAGTATAGATGTCAGCTTGGTCTCTATTGTTCTCTGAAAGAAATGCGTACATTTGCGCAAGCCTACAGCGAATGTGCAACCTGCAAACAGCGTTAAAAGAATGCTAAACTTCTATAGTCCAAGGGTGCTTAATTATGTAGTTTTAGCGCGAATCATCATCAACACGACAGGACTGAGTTGTTATCTTCTAATATGAAAAAAAAAACGCATTAAATGTCAAAAAAGTGTTTTTGCAACATCCAAGCAGCATGCAATCGCCATAAACTCAACATGATCATTTACGATCAATCGAAAAACAAGCAGTAAATACGCAAATATGTTCGCGCAAAATAACAACAAGTCCAAATTGAATGCGCACGTTCAGCTAATCAGTTCAGAACTAATCTCATCCATGTTGTTTCTCAATAGTTTAATACACACAATAGTTTGCACGGTGTCGACTGTTGACAAGGCAACAAAAATCGAAACATATAATCGAATACTGTATATGCATGGAGTATCTTTCTTTAAAATGTGCGAATTCAGTCACAATCATCATACCAATTCTTGTAATCCAAGGGCAGTTTATTTTTAAATTGCGGAGGTGGTAAATCCCATTGATGATAATGGCGTAAAGTACCGACATTGTTGAGATTATGAAGAATTCTAATCTGACGTTAAACTATTTGACGCCGTTTTTAATTAATATTAGAGAGTTTAAGAAGTGAATGTTTTTGTCAACACGAAAAATCACTTTGGTAATTTAGTATAATTCCGACTTGTTATTGGAACTATTTAACGCAGATTTTAATAAACATTAGAGAACGGAATTTGTCGATATTATTTCTCAACACAAATATGAGTTAACTGTTAATTAAGCGTTAATTAGGGCCTCAATCGTCTTGCTTCAATTCGAAACCAATTGATTAAGTTTCACTTTCTTGATTTGGTCGTTGATGTACATACGGAAACGGGTGTTGAAAAGGCTCTTCGCCGAATCATGTATATCATTCACAGCACTGCATGAACGACAGAAAAAAACAATTTGGTAAAACCGACTTTTAATACAACAATTAAGAATGAAAGAATGTTAATAGACGTTTCTCATAATAATACTTCACAACTGACATGATGAAAACTATGGCGACGTTCTGATGGGGGCGAAAGACAACACCAGTATTTCGGTGTCGATTGTTGTCTAGCATTTTTTTCAAATGCTGAAACGTACTTAGTCTATAGAAAAGATTACTTTATATTTTTCTCGCAAAAATATTTCGGTTATTTAATTTTGATTCTAACTCACTCTGTCGGCGTTCCCTGCGGGTGGAAACCGGAGCATCCGGATAAAACCTGCAACTTTCTTCGGTACTGCGTTGACTTACTAGTTTTATATGAGTGGGCAAGGAGAGAATCGAACCGATCATAAATGTCATAGTTGCGTTGCTCTGACGACTACACCATCGAAGCCGCGGTAGTCAATTGCAAAATTGCATTTCAGTTAGGAAATGGAAACAGTTTACATGTGAAATGTCTTCAATTTGTGTAAGCGGATCATGAACAGTTTTTATTCTGTTCCCCCTATACGAATCCCTTATTGGATTACAATTCAAATAATACGTGTTACAATGTCATGGAGCTTCGGTGACGCAGTCGTCAGAGTAAGGATAGAAACCTTCCCTGTGGGTAGAAACCGGAGCATCCGGATAAAACCTGCAACTTTCTTCGGTACTGCGTTGACTTACTAGTTTTATAATAATAATAATAATAATAATAATAATAATAATAATAATAATAATAATAATAATAATAATAATAATAATAATAATAATAATAATAATAATTTATTCAAACAAAGTCCCAATATTGGGACATAGAATACATGGGTAAATAACTAAATAAGTCGTTGCGGTCTATAACAATAACATAGATATTAATATATATGAAAAAAGTTGATAAATGTATAAATACACATACATACACACGCACACGTGAGTAATTAGACCAGGCTATCAAAAGCAGCCAAAACGTCGAAACAATATTTGCCTACTAACTTCATATTGACTTATCCTTCATAGCCATAATATATATAAATAGGTTTTCCGAAGTAAATAAGTTGAAAAACCTATTTATTTTATATCAATTATCAATGAATTTTGTCCTGAGGTCGATGAACTTCATGTTTGTACAAGACATTAAAAAGTGATGTTCATCTCCTGCTTCATTTAACTCACAAAGTCTGCATAGTCTATCATTGTATGGGACATTTTATATGAGTGGGCAAGGAGAGCATCGAACCGATCATAAATGTCATAGTTGTATTGCTCTGACGACTACACCATCAAAGCCGCGGTATTCAATTGCAAAATTGCATTTCAATTGGGAAATGGGAACAGTTTACATTTGAAATGATCTTCAATTCGTGTAAGCGGATGCACAGCTTTTATTCTGTACCCCCTATACGAATCCCTTATTAGATTACAATTCAAATAGCAAGTGTTACAATGTAATGGAGCTTCGGTGACGCAGTCGTCAGAGTAAGCGTCTTTCACCTCTGAGTTTGTGAGTTCGATTGTCGCTATGGACTCATGTGAAGAGTCAGTCAACGCTCTGCCGAAAGTCGTGGGTTTTCCTCCGGGTACGCCGGTTTCCTCCCACAGGGAATGTTGACAGGGTGGATTAGGATAAACACAGTTATGAAAGTAATATCACAATTGTTTTTTGAGATAAAATAATCTGGGCTAAATATGTACTAATTAGGTAAGCGTATAATACTTGATGTAAAGCACAGTTCATCATATCCACATGTAAATTTGCGCTATAGAAATGTTAATCGTAATCGTAATTAGCCATTCCGAAGTTGATGAGAGGACTGGGGACGAGTGTTAAAAAGTGCTCAAATTAAGAAATAAACCGAATGTCTAAAAAGACCACCTCAAAATTAGTAAGTATACAAAGTTTGAAGATGTTTGCATGAATACCCTTCGAATAATAAGCTTTCAAAAATTGTAAAATTACTGATTAATAAAAGTTGTTTTTGGGACGCGCGTCCCAAAAACAAAAATTACAATACATTTCATAGTAAATATCACCATTTTCGAAAGCTTATTATTCGAAGGATATTCTTGTAAACGTCTTCAAACTTTGTATACTTACTAATTTTGAGGTGGTCTTTTTAGTGATTTGGTTCATTTCTTAATTTGAATTAAAATCTCACTTTTTAACGCTCGTCCCCAGTCCACTCATCCACTTCGGAATGGCTAATAAGGAAACGTAATACTTGATACTTAATTTGATTATATCGACATGTAAATTTGTGCTATATAGAAATCTTAAAACATTTTTAGAGAATAACTTCCCACCTTTACTTCGTTCCATCTTTATCCTGACATTACAAAGACCACTTCCAGACCTAAAGTTGCCATAAGCAACACGATTCAACGCAACATACAAATATTTTTCAACAGGACCATACGTTGTCCATTGCCCATCCAATGTATAGAGATATGAATTGCGAATCTTGTGTGAATTATTCCAAGACATGAAACCATCTCCGACCTTTACATCAAGATTGACGCCATTGTGGACGACTCCGTCCATGGCCTATATCAGAAGTACAAGACACCTGCTTGGCCACTGATCTAAAGCTGGGCTATGAACTGGACATGGGATCTTCTATTGATAAATAAAGTCAGTACTAGCACTACTGGAATGCCATGCAACGAATAAAGTATAGTGTTGTTAGCAGAAAGCAAGATATTTTAGTGTTTCTAGTCAGTCGCAGAAAAGCAAATATAACGCCACTCGTTCAGGTTTCCCTTTTAGTTTCCGTATATTTCCCAACATTTTATCTATAAAAGTTTCACTAATATATATTTATTTCATATTTTCCCGAGTAGGAAATTTGAATTGGATAGTTTGATAATAATTTGCCGACTACTTGACAGGTGGGTAGTGCCCCCCCCCCGGCGGCCCCTGGTCGAAATGCAAATAGGCAATTGAATGCTCCTCTTTCAATGCTAGTCAATATTTATTTATTAGTTTCGCCATATTACAATACACAATACTATTACAAGAACAAGAATAATATAAATGAGCCAGTTACTGCGGGAATTAGGACATACAAACATAAAAAAAACTATCTAAATAAAACTATAACTAAAAGCAGCGCTTAAGAGGCTGAACCAGCGTTCGAGTGGTACGTATTACACTTGGTACATACAGTTTTGAATATTCTTGGATTTTCAGGATCGTAGGAAATTTCCAAAGCACAGAAGTAATAACTTAGAGTGGTAGATTTAAATCAACCTCGTTCCCAGGGTATTTAGGAAATACCCTGGTATGGGCTGGTCACGTGCCTCGTCCAAAATTTAGCGCCTGAGGGGGTGTGGGAAAAGTATCAAATTACATGATTCCAGTGGAGATATTTTGTTTAACAGTTAAAAACATTATTAAGTTCAAAATACTTGCTAATTTTTGTTTATTTTCTTTGCTTTGAATTTACAAGAACATTCTTACATTTTTACCAACAGTCAAGTCAAGAAACCAAGCAAATCGTTACTCACAGTGCTCTCTCGTGTTGTTATTCAATGCCGTCTCTTCACACTTGAGCGCGGTTTTATAACAAACGTTTATTATGAGCTTTTCAGTCATTTCTACATATGTAATGTTTTTAAAATACGCCATTAGATTTGTCCTTTCTTGTAAATGTTTATATGCTTTGCACCGATTTAATTACTTGTTACTATACGTCTACGCGTCTTGTTTATAAGATTGAAAGAAACAGTATTGTATTGTATTGTCTGGGACTAGAGCCCAATATTAGCAAATGTATTACATTTGATACTAGCCAAACAGAGAAAGTCTGTCAGTGATTATAAAATTTTGGATTTAGTACATAGTATTCGGTGATTATAGTCAGGCTTTAGCCTTTTTCTTGGTCTTTATTAATCATAATATTTTCCTAATATACTAAATCTATATATTGTGAATTTACAGTGTCAGACGCGCACAGACTGTCATACGAATAAACATAAATTTTCGAGTTTTCTACTTCTACTAACATTTTTAAAGTTTTCATTGTGAATCATCTGTTTATTTGTAGTTCATTAGTCATTAATATGCTCTAAAAAACAAGGCTCTCAAATATATTTGTATATTTATTTGATAGTGTCATAGTGATATTATTATGCATTTACAAGCAATCCTGGATATGATAAAGACGATACAAGCTGTCCATTAAAAAATAACGGGATTCTATTCCACAAAGAAAAATATTTAAATCTCACTTGTATTATTAAGAATATATATAAAGCAAAAAATTTAAACTTGTGTGAGTTGTGTCAAAACGAAAGCTGTTTATAAAATTTATAAATGTTGTAAACACTATTACTAATATAAAGTGCCCATTGAAAGACATAATATAGTATATTGTCGTTTGACTTATCTTTGATGTATGATTTTAATACTGTAGATTTTCAACAGACAGCTAGACTTTAACATATACCATGATTGTTAAGTTTCAGCAATGCCAAGGGCCAATGCAGGAAGTTTTATAAGCTTTTATAGTCAACAATCTGGATACAGTTGGCGTCTTGGCGATATTTCGGAAATCAAAAGATCTCGCTATTTCGTTGCAATTCCATGCCACATCTCATCAATAAATAAATTCTTTTGGTTCGAGTATCTAGATATACTTTACTAACAGTTAAATAAATGAATAACCACATTGTTCGGTCTAGATATATATATTTTCTTGTACTGCTTTATTATATTGCCACGCCGTCCACGCGTGCTTTCTCAGTGACAAGTCTATAAGTTGAAATCTGATCCAATTTGCTTGAATTGTAACTCGACACTAGATTGTAGAGTAGAAAGTCACATCACGATAAATATTAATTTTTAATTGCAGTTCTTTTCACGAATAATCATGATTTCTTTGAAGATTCAATGGTTATTGTTTATATTCATAGAGCGATCTAATTG